TTTTTTTTTTTTTTTTTTTTGCTGCTGCTGCAATGGTAAATGCCTCTAAATGGCATGGAAAAGGAGTCATGATTTGACCCTTTTTACCCCCATAAACAGGACAAACATGCCAACACCTGAGACAGGCTACAGGCCAGTAGTGTTGTGGCACATGGTTCCTCCATTCACCTCCTATACAACAATAATCCCTGTGGCATATACAAACACCTTTTCATCATGGCCGTATTTTGTGTTACTGATGCAACGTTTTCCTGAGCCCTGTGTTATGTAGGGTTGAGAGCTTTAGTTCAGGCTGATCTGTAATGAAGGGTTTATAAAAAGAGACGAATCATTTTATTACCTTTGGCATTCACTGCAGTTACATGAATATTATATTGTTATCAGTCAGTAGTATTATTTAAACACACTGAAATTTTATAAGGACCATGAATTTAGCATGGAAAAATCCTATGCAACAGTACAGGCTTGGGGATGACTGGCTGGGCAACAGCTTTGCAAAAAAGGACCTGGGGGTTACAATGAACAATCAGACAAATACGAGCCAGCAGTGTGCCCTGGTTGCAAAGAAGGCTAATGGCATCCTGGGCTGTATCGGTAGGAGTGTTGCCAGCAGGTCCAGGAAAGTGATTTTTCCCCTCTATTCAGCACTGGTGAGGCCATATCTGGAGTACTGTGGTCAGTTTTAGGCCCCGTACTACAGAAAGGAGGTGGATAAATTGGAGAGAGTCCAGCAGAGGATAGTAAAAATGGTTTGAGGGCTGGGGCACATGAATTATGAGGAGAGACTGAGGGAACTGGGCTTATTTAATCTGGAGAAGAGAAGACAGAAAGGGGATTTAATAGCAGCCTTCAACTACCTGAAAGGAGGTTTGAAAGAGGATGGAGTGAGACTGTTCTCAGTGGTGGCAGATGATAGAACAAGGAGCAACGGTCTCAAGTTGCAGCAAGGGGAGTTTAGGTTAGATATTAGGAAGAATTTTCTCACTAGGAGGGTAGTAAAACACTGGAACAGGTTACCCAGAGAGGTGGTGGAAGCTCCAACCTTGGGGGTTTTTAAGACCTGGCTAGAGAAAGCTTTGACTGGGATGATCTAGTTAGGGATGGTCCTGCCTTGAGAAGGGGATTGGACTAGATGACCTGTGGAGGTCCTTCCCAACTCTAATTTTCTATGATTCTATATCAGAAGATCTCAAAGCATATTCCAAGCATTAATAATTATGGTTTATCAAGTCCCATGAGAAGTAAGCAACCTGCATAATTTCCAATTTAGGGTACATACAGACATTTGGGGAGGTTAGGGGGAGGTTAGACTGAGTTAAAAATAGCCACCCAATCTGAAGTAAGTTGGGTTGGGTGGGGCTAGCAGGGGGGCGTTGTAGGGCAAACAGGACCTGCAAGCAGGATCGTGGGGAGACAACAAGAAAGGGCCACAGGGGCATTAGGGGGAAATCAGGGAAGCTAGTGGGGCCTGCAGGGGGTGGTTGGTTGGGACTGGGGGTGTTTTTTAGGATCAGAAGGGGCTAGAAGGATCTGTGGGGG